GCGGCTCCATCCCATAATAAGGGATGGCGGGCGCAGTGCCTGACATGGCAGTGATGATGAGCCCTATTCTCCCTGCAGCTCATTTCCATGGCAATGGCTGAATGAAATTTTGGTAATGGAGGGGTGGGCTCAGACTGGTAGGAGGGTCACATCTCTATTTTTCTCCCTTCTGCCTCAGTGTCTGACTTGTATCTGTCACTCTCATCAGACCATAAAGCAGTTATCATAATTATGATCGATGTTATTCTTTATGCAAATTCATCTTTCTTTTTTCTTTTTTTAAAGTAAGTTGGAAGTGATTTAACAGTGAAAGCCAAAGCCAGGCTCATGAATGACACGCAAGGATCGTAAAATGTATAAAGGGCAAAATCGCTAGCTTAAATATTGGGACGTCACAAAGCATTAATTTGAAAATGAGGTTTAATAAGTGGCTTCAAAAGGATGTCGAACACGTCTTTCTGGCCTTCTTGCAGGAAATGCTTTTCCTTGTACTGTGCTGTCTGGCTAAAAGAGCTCAGACTTGTTCACACTTTAAAAGGGCTAAATTATAGATGTCTCATCACTGTGGTTATATAAATGACCTCCGCTGCGAGCTCTCTCTTATACACACACACACACACACACACACAGACTCCCTCTTTTCTATTTATCACGCTCTCTCTCTCTCTCCCTCCCTCTCCCTCTTGTCTGTTAAATGACAGCAGTACATAGTGTACTTTTTTTCTCCCTTCAGCACCATGGGAACTGCTCATTCTGGATGTTTTTTCTGCAATGATACTGTCTTCAACAAAACTCCAAGATAAACTTAGAATATAATCTAAATGCACCAAAGGCTTGAAGTTCTGTGGCGGTTCAGCTTTGAAGGTGGATAATCGAGGATCTGTGCTTGCTTATTTTTGACAACTGTCCTGTAACAAGTGTGAATGCATTCGGGAAACCTGCATTTTCTATGAATGCAGCAGACCTATGACAAACGGAGGAACCAAAAATAAAAGTTTGTTTACTCTGTGCTCATCGTGATAGTTTGTTTTCAGATCCTGAATTTTTGATGAATTTGTCAAATGTCTGATACCAGGGTTCAGAACAGTCATACTCAATGTTCTTTATGTCTGGAAAGTTGTGTTTGACTTGAATCCAATTAGGCTACCAGTCTTCAGTCTCTGACTGAAGAAATGGTGAGTGATGTATTTTCAGTGGATCAACCTGTCACGATAATGGGACGATTCATATTTAGTGGTGATGACATTGTCTTCTTGGCTTTCCGAAACTGCTGTCATTCATCTGGCTTCTGGCAGCTTGCTAGGCTCTGGGTTTTTTTTGTTGTTGTTGTG